GTTTCCTCCCCTCCCCTTCCCCCCCCCCTTCCCCCCCCAAAGAAAAGATAAAATGAGCAGTACCCGCACCATTTTTTTGTAAGCTCCCGTCTTCTTGCAAAGAGCTGGGGGCGCGTCCCACTAGCAAAAAGACGGGAGCTTGCAAAAAAATGGTGTGGGTACTGCTCTTTTTCCCTTTTTTTGGGCAGACCAGTGGCGATGCTCTGCATATTCCAGCGAACACGTCCAAATCCAATCCTCTTTGCTAGTGCGACTTCGCCCCTGCTTTGTTGTTCAGAAACCGTTCCCACTGTTGTTATCTGTCCGAAACAAAGCAGCCGCCATAGCTCCTATAAACACAGTGGAGTTCGAGCTTTTGGAAAGACTTGGGGAGCCTGGGGTAGGAAGGCATCATGCTTAGGATAGGGGAAGGCGGGATATAGCATCTTAATGGAAGGGCAGTTCGCTGCCCGTAGAATCTGCGGGATGAGGCACAGATGGGGGATGACTGGATATGCATGGACCCCACCTGTGCCTGGGTCGTCCTTAAGATTAGAGTTAGGGCAGTGTCTGCACGAAGACGTTCAGGTTAGCCCGGTAAGCGTTGGCTCAGATCACGACTTGTGATCTGAGCGTTAGCATAGGTCATGGTACAATGGTGCCATCCCGAGGTGACTTCCCCTCGGTCCTCACAATCCCTCTGACCTCTCAATGACGAGTACTACGATCACCTCCTGAGGCCTGACCACCACCCTCTACTACACGCTGGAGAAAAAAAAGAAAAAAAAAAGAAGGCAAAGAAACTAACAGTGGGGGAGAGGTCCTCCTTTCCTGCATTCTCCACGTTCCACCTTTGATTATGAAGATCAATGGCCAGAAACAAAGAAACACAGAATGTGGGACCTTGCCCCAAGGTTTACAATAATGGGACTTGATCGATACTCATACTGGAACTTTCTCTAGTGAATTCTGCAGGTTATATATGCATACACTCAGTATATATCAATACTAAGGGCCTCGCTGCACTACGCATGAAACTTGACGTTTCAAGAGTGTGGCATGGCTGCATGAACTCTTGACACGGGATGCCCAAAACCTATTCGAGAGTTGTCAGACTCACTCTAAAACATGTCGAGAATGAGTCATCGCTGCACTAACTAAAGAAAGGCACTCTTGATCTTTCTTTTCAAGTGCTGTCAGAGGTCGCTCCCGAGTGTCAAGAACGCCAGCCTCATTTTTTTCAAGGGAGGTTGATAGGACCCTACACGCCCCATTGTTTTTCGAGAGTTTAGCTGGAGTCTGGGTGGGCAAACCTTCGTAGTCCTTCCTAACGTTCAAGAGTTCAAGAGTTTATGTGGAGAAAAAATTCGGGAGTACTCCCGAACGTCCGAAGACGTGAAAATCGATTCGGGAGTGCGCTTCGCCACATTGCACTCCCAACTCGGGGTGTTCTCCGATTTGGAGGCCAGGAGGCGCACTTCAGACAGAGACTGTCCAGCACTGTCCGGCATGTGCCGACGAAAACTGTGAGGAGAATGCTTGTCTGCGCACGAGTTCTCCGTTCGAAACACAGGCCTCCGCGAGAGGTCTCCCGAAAATGGCCTTTTACAGGCGGGAGGCTCAAGCGATTTCGGGAGTGCTCTCGGGAGGCACATTCTGACAGCTCCCGAATTCAATCTGACACACTGAACTCGAGAGCTGGTGTGGCGACGCTGCACTCCCGAAAATGGCCAAGTCGGGAGTAGTGTGGCGAGGCCCTCAGCATAAGTGCATCCACAACTGCTCTATCCGGCATTTCAAGACAGAGTCTGACAACTGTTGAACGACGGTTGAACTTTTTCAGGAGTCTAGTGTAGTGCAGCGAGGCCCTATATACTATATATATCGTCAAACAGAGCTGCCGTCAAACAGAGTCTAGTGTAATGCAGCTAGGCCCTATATATATCGTCAAACAGAGCTGCCCGTAAATCGTAGGCAGAGAGGGACTGATCAGGAGGGTCGTATATGTATATATATCGTCAAACAGAGCTGCCCGGCAAAAGGTAGGCAGGGAGGGAGAAGAGGACAAGAAACGAGGGGCTGTGACAAACTGTGTTGTCGGAGTTTCACCGACTCATCCGGAGGCTGAGCCCTATACATATATATATCCATGTATAGACACGCAGTACACTCAGTGACTCAGCAATTAGCCCTGTGGGGTTCGTTCTATATTTGTGCTGAGCTGGGCGAACGCCACACAACCTGGCCGTAATAGCGGCCAGGTTATGTGTGTGTACACATTTTTTTTTTTCTTGTGACTCAAGTGCTGTGTTGACACTGGATTGAAAGACTAGGCCCAGGTGTGGTAGGGGCAGGACGTTCTGGTCCTATGCTCACACTTGGAAAGCATCAACCTGGCCAGGTTCGTACTTTCCTAGCGTAAACACAGCACCACTCCAGCCTGGGCCCTTAGCATGAACTTAGCACGGACATATCACCAGCGGACTTGGTCCTCGCTGACCAAAACGCGGTCAACGAACACCGAACCTCCCGCGTCACTTCACCCGCGCACCTCGGCGGCAATATTAGCCCCATTTTGACACCTCGGCGCCAATGTTAGCCCTCATTTTGATACCTCGGCGGCAATATTGGCCCCATTTTGACACCTCGGCGCCAATGTTAGCCCTCATTTTGATACCCCCCCTGCCCAGCTTGGCGCCAAGATGTCTCCCGCCTGCCAGGACGTGGCGGGTAGCTTGGCGCCAACAATTTGGGACTACCACTCTGAATGATGTGATGAATGAGAGCTTCTAGCCCGCGCGAGAAAGTTACACCCCGCCTGTCCGGGGGCGAGGTCCCATTAGCAAAGAGGATCAGATCGAATGCCTGCACCTGGACGTGTTATGTGCAGAGATGCAGGAAAGCAGTTCGATCTCGATTTCCTGCACCTTCGACAAATACGTCCAGATTCGGGCATTCGATCCGATCCTCTTTGCTATTGCTAGTGGGACCACGCCCCGGCCCGACCTGAGGCTACCGCCCCCCGCCGGTCGAATCGAAAGTTTCGACCAGAGGCCTCTTCCCCGCCCTTTGCCATATTGGAGAATCCTATGGAATCTGGACCCCGCGGAACGTAGCCGGGGGGAGGCAGAGGCTGAGGAAAGGGGGGCGACGATGGGCCCATTGCAACGACGCGACAACATCCGTAGAACGGAGGAAGGCGGGGTGAGGAGGAGGAGGAGGACGGGGGTGGGTTGTGGAGAGGAGGAGGTGGACGAAGAGGAGGTAGAGGTGGCGGGAAGGACGGAGGAGGGCGCGGAGGTGGTGGTGTGTGAGGGAAGGCAAGAAGGGTGCGAGGGCGGGTCTTAGCGAGTAAGCGGGATCGGTTGAAAAAAAATGCCCATTGCGTCCTGTGCAATTGTTTTGGCGGGTTGGCCTTTTTCTCGCGTGTCTGGTGCCACGTGTCAGACTCTTGGGTGTCCTGCGCCCCCTCCTGCGTGACAATATTTAGATTTCTATAATTGCCCCGGCACGGGTGGGTGATGATGGATCTCTCTCTTCTCGGTCTACATGTAGGTCTCACTTTCGCTTGACCTCCTCTCCCTTGTGTGTCTGGAAGGAGGACAACACACACGCGTCGACGACCACCTTGAAGTCTCGATCTGCTTGCCGGTTGATTAAGAAATCGGCTTAAGATTGGCCACAACAAGTACAAAACGATTTTCAGACGGCTCTGGAACTGTTCTCCGTGGATTGATTTAGGTCTCGATCTGCTTATAGATGCCCGAATGCCTTTCCCTCTCCCTTTCTCGCCCCGTTTCTCGCTTCCTCTCTCTCTCTCTTTCTCTTTTTGGGTAGTCTTTCCGCGGAAGGTAGCTTCGTTTACTACCAGGAATGATATTCCCCCGGGACTGCATCGCGCCTTGCTTCCCTCTATTCTCTTATTATCCCCTCTTTCTCCCCATTCGTCTCTTTCGTTCTCTGGTGGCTCGTGCCATCTACTTCAGAGGTCTCTCGTCTCTCCTTCTCGTGCTCCTCCTCTCTTCTCGTTCCCCTGGTCGAGCGTTTCCACGTCCTTGCGCAGCGTTTTTCTTGTGTGACAGCAGATTTTGCGACAACAGATTGTGCGTGACTGCCGATCGTAAACTTGTGCGACAGCAGATTGTGCGCGAGGTGGATCATGTGTTATCAGTCCATAGGGCTCGTTATTAGACGTCAGATTGTGCGACAGCAGATTGTAAACTTGTGCGACAGCAGATTGTGCGCGAGGCGCACGACGCCATTGTGCGACAGCAGATTGTGCGCGAGGGGCTCGACGCCCACTAGACGTGACGGAGCACGTCTAGTGTATTGTCGTTTCCTTGATTGATTGGCTTGGTGCGACAGCAGATTTTGCGCGAAACTGATCACGTGTCCTCGTGTTATCACTATACACGTCGCGCATTATCAGTGCTCGACGTCCAGTAGACGGCCGGGACGAGAGTTAATCTTGACTGGTTGATTGATTGATTGATTGATTAATTGATTGATTGATTGATTGATTAATGGATTGGTTGATTGATTGATTGGTTGATTGATTAATGGATTGGTTGATTGATTGATTGGTTGATTGATTGAGTGAATGGTCGATCAGGTGCTTGATGATTATTTAATCAATTGCGAATGACCTGCTATTGCAGCGAGGGAGCGAGGAGTCGCTTACGACGCCCAATCTACCTCTCTTTCTCTCTCTCTCTCTCTCTCTCTGTGTCACTCTTTCGCTCGCCCCTCCACCCTACCGTTCTGTCTTTCTCGCTGTTCGCCCCCTGAGCAGTAGGAGCGGACCGGCTGCGCATAGCATTCTTGTTCTTTTGAGACGCGATTGTACGAGCGAAAGAGAGCGAACGTCCTCCTCCTCCTCCTCCACCGGTGTCGTGCGCCTCCTCCACCTCTTCCTTGTACTCATCCACCCTTCATACTTCTTCTCCGTCTTTGACCACTCTCGTCTCTGAAGAGGCGGCCTCTTACGACCGTTCCTTTACACTTTTACGTAGTGATTTGCACCCAAGGCACACTCACAGTCAGAGAGAGAGAGAGAGAGAGAGAGAGAGAGAGAGAGAGAGAGAGAGAGAGAGAGAGAGAGAGAGAGAGAGAACGGAGGTGGTCTTAGGAGGAGAAGGTTAGGGGGGTTTCCTTAATCAACATCTGCTAATCGATGGCGATGTAGCTTGGTGAGATTCTGGAAGATCAAGGAGAGGAGGAGAAGCTGGAGGAGGGCGAGGGTGAGGACGAGGAGGAGGGGAAGGAACTTGACTTCCTCCACGTGATATACGCTCCATCACGGGCGATCTCTCTCTCTGTCGGCCTGTCTGTCTGTCTGTCTGTCTCTCTCTTCTGTCTCTCTCTTCTCCCTCAATCCGATGCGAGGAATAGTGGGTAAGAGGATCGTCGTTTGCCCCTGCTTCAGAGCGAGAGAGGAAGATGCGATGCGGGGGATTCATCGGTGGATCTCTGTCATAGATGTGAGATGACAAGAGGAGAGGTCAGCATTGTTGTTGGCTCTATGATCCACCTCTGGCCGTCCTCAGCGGATCAACCAGTGAGTAATTAGCTGAGGAAGACGATGGCATTGATCGATCGATCGATCGATCGATCGATCGATTGATTGATTGATTGATTGATTAATTAAGTGATCAATAATCGACGATGAGTAGTTGAGGAAGGATCAGAGTATCCCGCGTTGTTCGTTCTCGTAGTACGCCATTCCTTTCGTCTTCCTTCCTCTCCCTCCCTCCCTCCCTCTCTGTTTCCTTCCCCTCTCCTTTCCTGTTTCCTACCGTACTCCAGGTGGGTTTTGCGCAAATAGATCTCTGAGGGATATCGATCTGAGAAGAAGGCTTGGTCACTGCCCGCCATTGGGTTGTATCCCATCTTCCACCCTCTCTGTCTCTCTTGTCCTCCTCTCTCCCTCCCTTCTCTTATCTCTTTCCTTCGGGTTACGTGTGGCACCCCTTACAGGGACAGATTTGTGATTTGGATCGCCACTGAGAATCTGCGTAATCGGCCGAGCATCTCTCCTCTCTCTCTCCTCTCTCTCTCCTCTCTCTTCTCTCTCTCTCCCCTCTCTCTCTTCTCCTTTCCGTCAGGCGAATGCTGTCGTCTCTCTATGTTAGGATAACATATTGGCACGACGAGGGCAGATTAGAAATTTGTATGTGTTCCAGGGACATATTGTGATTTGGATCGCGACCGAGAATCTGCGTAATCGGCCGAGTATCTCTCCTCTCTCTCTCCTCTCTCTCTTCCCCTTTCCGTCAGGCGAATGCTGTCGTCTCTCTATGTTAGGATAACATATTGGCACGACGAGGGCAGATTAGAAATTTGCATCTGTGACGGCAGGGCAGATTCGTAATTTGCATCTGTGACGAGAGGCGGGGGCAGTTTGTCCTCGAGGTGCATTGCTGTCTGTCTTTCTGTATCTCCCTCTCGGTGTCGTCTTCCTCTCTCTTTCTCTCTCCCTCTCTCTTCGTGTTAAGTCCGGATCCTTTTTTTTGTTCCCCGTTTTCTCTCGCCCTCTCCTCCTCCTCCTTACTCTTCTGCCTTCCTTTCCGCGAGGCGGATGCCGTCGTTTTTATTACCCTTCAGAAAAGAGGATAAGGATAAGGATAAGGGGTGTTTTGGGGATTACAGAGGGCCTGAAGAGGGTCAGCAGATTTGTCATCTCCATCTTCAACGGCGGGTGTCGGCGGCGACGGCCGCACGACTAACTCCCGCCAATGAAGCTATATGTGTCTCCTAGCATGCGTAGGATCACCATTTCCACTACAGGTGGGGCTGGACTTGATGCTGTACGAGTGCGATTTCCGTCTCGGCGCTGGACTTACCGCTGCGTGTTTCTAGGTCTCCTAGGACTCGCCTTCATTCTGCCGGCTCTCTTCATCGTAACGGCGGTTTTGACATTGCCAGATTGCACAGGAGAAGGTAGGTGCATTCCTTTCTCTCTCTCTCTCTCCCCCTCGGCGTTTGTCTCCGTCTCTCTGACGGTCGCCGTTTCTTTTTCTCATTGTCTCTCTCTCTCTCTCTCTCTCTCCCTCTCTCTCCCCCTCGGCGTTTGTCTCCGTCTTTTTCTCATTCTGTCCCTCGATCACGCTCTCTCTCTCTCTCTCTATCTCTCTCTCCCCCTCGGCGTTTGTCTCCGTCTTTCTGACGGTCGCCGTTTCTTTTTCTCATTGTCTCTCTCTCTCTCTCTCTCTCTCCCCTTCGGCGTTTGTCTCCGTCTTTTTCTCATTCTGTCCCTCGATCACGCGCTCTCTCTCTCTCTCTCTCTCTCTCTCTCTCTCTCTCTCTCTCTCTCTCTCGCTCGCTCGCTCGCTCGCTTGCTTGCTTGCTTGCGTGCTTTCTGTCTGGATGTATCTGTGCGAGTCTCTCTCTTTATCCGCCTCCTTGGTTCCGCCTTTGCCAGGTGTGCGCGCGTGCGTTTGTTTTGGGTTCATCCCTCCCTCTCGTCATTGCCTTGTTTTCGTCCTTATCTTCCTCCTTGTTTCTCTTTGTCTCCTTCTGTCTTTTCTCTCTCCTTTCTCTTCTTCCTGTTGTTATCCTCGTCTTGTCTGTGTTGACCTTTTTGTTCTCCTTCGGTTACTTGCCTCTTGTTTCTCCGCCCCCACCTCTCGTCCTCTTTTCTCTTCCTGTCCTTCTTTCCTCTCTGTTTCCCTTTTATATCCCTGTCTCCAACTCCCTTTCTTCTCCTCTCCTCTGTATTTCTCTCTCCTTTTCTCTGTCATATTGCATATCCTTCTCGCTGTCGTTTCTCTCTTTCCTGCCCTTCCTCCATTCTCATCCTTTTCTCCCTCCCTGTCATCCTGCCTTTCTTCCTCCCTACCTCTCCCCTGTCCTCGTTCTCGCTGCTTCTGCACCGCTGGCCTGCCTTCTCGCAGGCCTCATCCCCTTCGTCCTTCTGTTCTTTCTTTCTTCTTATTCTGTGCTGAGTTTTCACTATAGTCCCAGAAGATGGCTTTCTTTTGGGAAAAAAACAAGGCTTTATTTTGAGCATTTAGATCTAGAGAAGATCCCTTTGTCATCACTCTCCATCCTTTTCATCTCTCTGAAGAATGCGGGCATTGGCATAGAAGAGAGATGCCAAGCATAAATGGCGACAAACCTCTCTACATCTTCCGCACCTTTTTCCATTTTTTCCTCACTCCTGTCGCTTTCTCTTTCTCTCTCGTTCTCTCGTTCTATCACGTACTTTCTTTCTCTTTCTTCGTCTCTCTCTCTCTCTCTCTCTCTCTTTTTCTCTCTTTCCATTTCTCTCTTTCGTAATCAAAAGGTCGGTTTGCAGCTATTGTATGCCAATGTCCTGCCCTACCGAATCTCTCTTCCCTACTCTCCTCTGTCTTCTCTTCTTATTCTCATTCGCTATGTTCGGTTTCTCTCTCTCCCATTGTCCTCCTCTCGTTCCGTCTTTCTCTCAGTCTTGACCTTCTTCCTTCCTATCGTCACGTCCAATCTCTCCCCCTCCTCCTCCCCCACCACCCAGTCTTACCCTTTTCTCTCCCTACTCTCCGTTTTCCGCTCACGACAGAGCTCTTTGCTGTGTTCATTTCTTGTCCGTTCTCTTCTTTCTACCCATCATCGCTTCCTCCCCATCTCCTCTTCTTCCCCATCACCTCTTCTTCCGCATCACGTCTTCCTCCCCATCACCTGTTCCTCCCCTCCTCGCTCCATAGTATTTCTGTACTATGCCGATCACGGGGATGCAAACTGGCCCATATTTATAAAACATCAGCGCACCCCATTTCGTTTGATTCGCATTCTCTCACACACCACCTCCCCACCCTTGTCCCTCTGCTTCCCTCACCCCCTCCCAACCCGACCACCCACTGGTTGGACAGCCTCCGGGCTCCCCAGGGCCCCCTGCCTCCAGTGTTTCCCTGGAGTATGACGACGATGCTGCCGGGTACATGCGCGAATTGTCCTCTCTCCCGCCCTCCCTGCTTCCCTTCCTCTCTTCGTCTCTCCCTCTCCACCTCTCTCCCTCTCTCTCTTTCTCCCCCCTCCTCCCCGTTCTCCCCCCGTTCTGATTGCTTTCCATGATCCATTGTCTGCATTGTCAACCCTCGTTCTACCCTCCTCACGCTATTGGAATTGTGTTCTCTCTCTCTGAGTGTACTTGCATTTCCCCGAAGGCTCCCCGAAGGCTCCCCGAAGGTTCCCCGAAGGTTCCCCGAAGGTTCCTCGAAGATACTGCCGTCAATCTTGCCATCGTGTTCGTCTTTCTCTCGGTTTTCGTGTTTCCTTTTTCGTCCTTTTTCTTCGTCTTCCTCCNCGTGCTTCTTCGCAACAATCCACTGGCCGAAAAAACGATACGGTCCAGCAGATATGTGCAGTTGTCAGTGTTAGAGTCCTTACACGGGGTGGTGCCTGTCTCTTATACACATCTAGATGTGTATAAGAGACAGGTTAGCGTGGTGTACGCCTATTTGGTTTGCGCAATCTACTCTGCATTGTAATTGGTGGAACAATTGCATCGCTGCCCTCCTTGCCGGTATCCCATTTCATCCCTGCCTGCCTTTTTGTTTGTTATAGATTCTCTGACTACGTGTATCTAGATATCGTCAAACAGAGCTGCCTAGTAAACCGTAGGCAGAGAGGGAGGGAGAAGAGGACAACAAACGAGGGGCTGTGACAAACTGTTGCGTATAAGATATACAGTATGATATATTATAATATATTATGTTATACATATTACTATAATATGATATTATATCTATATGATTATATTATACACACATTTTAGAGTCACAGAACTGCCCAGTGAACAGTGGGGAGAAAGGGAGGAAAGTACAAGTAACGGTGGGCTATGACAGATTGTTTCGTATATCTATACATTTTGACGATATGTATATATACATCCTTTTTTTTTTTCCAATGGTGCTTTTGTTCTGTACATCGTACTGAAAAAACCGTTCGTGGAGGGATTCCCGCCATCCCCCTTTTGCTATATTTGAATGTTTCTTTTAGAAAAAAAAAAAAAAAAAACGTTCGTGGACGTGGAACTACGAATAGATCTGGAGATGGAGGCCTTTTCGTTTTTTCCCCCCAGCCATTTTGCTCGTTCAGCCCCTGTGCCTGTTTGCCCTCCTGCTCTGTCTGTGTATGTGTGTGTGTGTGTGTGTGTGTGTGTGTGTGTGTGTGTGTGTGTTTTCCCAGCCATTTTGCTCGTTCAGCGCCTGTGCCTCCTTGCCCTCCTCCCGCTGTCTCTGTGTGTGTGTGTGTGTGTGTGTGTGTGTGTGTGTGTGTGTGTGTGTGCGTGCGTGCGTGTGTGCGTGCGTGTGTGTGCGCGCCGGGGGTGGGGGGTCGAGTGGTCGTTCCGCTCTGGACGGTGATCCTTGGAATCAGGGACTCTCGGGATGAGCCGTGCCCAACTTCTCCCCACGGCTAGTTCAACAGTGGCACGTGCTCTCGGCTGCCACGTGTGGGTGGCGCGAAGCCTGAGCGTTTTGATTTCTTCCTCCTCCTCCTCCTCCTTTGCCTCTGTGTGGGCTATTGTCTTTGGACGTGCTGATCCAGATCGATTATCTCCAGACAGCAATTTTCTTTGAAAATATTTTGATTTGATCTCATTTGATTTCATGGTTTTATCAAGATCTGAGTCCCTTTTTCAGGGCTGTTTATGTTTCGCGTTGTATGTAATGAGTCCGTTTTTCAGGGCTGTTTATGTTTCGCGTTGTATGTAATATAGGTTAAATTGGTTAATGGATTAACTTCTGCTTTTGTGCTAAAAGTCACGCGGAGCTCATTAATTGGGAGTGGCAACTCCACAATTAAGAAAGAAGAGGGGAGAGCTAATTAAAAAAAGGTTTTTGAAATTTGAATCGAGATTTTTCATTTGTCGAGAAAAAGAAATTTGGATTTCATTCTGCTGATGATGGATAATGTGCCTACCAATTCGCTTATCACGTTAGATCTCCTCCCCCCCCCCTTCCCGCCGCCCCTTCGTCCTCTTCCCTCCCACCAGGACAAGCCCCCAAAAAACGGAAAATACAGAAAACCAAAAAGAACGAAAGAATGAGGAGGACCAAAAAAAGAGTAAGAAAACAGGAAAAGAAAACGAATCGTTAGATCGGATAATGCATTTCCCTGCATACTTTTCTTTTCGATTGAATAAAAGAAGAAATACAAAGAAAAAGAAATGAAATCTCAAAGAATAATATTGGATTGGAATAACTCGTTTACTGCAAATCGGATTATGCATTGATTTCAATTTTAACAAATGATGTCAAAACGTTGTCTTACCCATTAATTTCTATCAAGCGAACCCTGGTAATGATTTCAAATTATGTCCGAACGTTGAACCTGGTCGTGATTTCACATTATGTCCGAAGTCGTCGTTTTTCTTGACCCACATTGAATCTGGAAACGCTATTTTCTTTACCTATGTTTTTTGTCGTTTCGTTTTTTTTAAACCCTTCCTTAATCTACCCCTCTTCTCCAATCTGATACAACCAACCACCGATCTCTCTCCCCTTTCCCTAAATCCTTGTCAGCATTCTTTCTTCTATTTTTAATTTCAAAATCGATTTGCCTTTTTTCTGCTGGATATTATCCTTATCAAGAAGCTGATCTCAAAGTTCCGCTCCCAAAAAAAAATAAAAAATGAAAAAATTCCCCTCCAATCTAGTGTGTTACATCGTTACATATTATTATTGGTATATTAATTAACTTTTTTTTAAGTTTTTTTTTCTTGTTTATATATATGCACAGGACATCCCGAGGTCGGACTTTAAATTGCAAGTTGGTCACAAATTTGGTAGCCCCAAATTTGCAAATCTAATTACGGAATTGAATTTTACGAATTCAAAAAAAAATCCTAAATTAAACCAACTACGTTTACTTCAAAAATCTCGACTTTAAATTACAATTTGGTCGCAAATTTGGTACCCCAAAACTGCAAATCAAATTACGAAATTGAATTTTACAAA